ATGCTTCCTCTCCCCCACTATCATGATCCGAATTCTACCTTACAAATCCAGCTGGACTGGAGGATGTACACTGGTACAGATAGGAACTGGAAACACAGGGAATCCAGGACAGATGATCCCCTCAGGACCAGTGGTGAGAGTGGCACCAGGAAAGTGAAGGGAAGGTGCGGGAGAAAGGGGGAACAGATTACAGGGATCCACATATAACCTCCTCCCTGAGGGACGGACAGCAGAGAATTGGGTGAAGGGTGATGTTGGATGGTGGAAAATATGACAAAATAATAATAATTGATAAATTATCAAGGGTTCGTGGGGGGGGGGAGCGGGGAGGGAGAGGGAAAAAATGAGGAGCTGACACCAAGAGCTCAAGTAGAAAGCAAATGTTTTGAGAATGATGAAGGAAACAAATGTACAAAAGTGCTTGACACAATGGATGGATGTATGGATTGTGATGAGTTAGTTGTATGAGCCCCCAATAAAATGATTTTTAAAATACTAATGAAAAAATACTGACACCTGACCACAAAACAGTAATTCTGTTATTTAAGATGGTTCTGTATTGTTTCTTGATTGGTGTCCTGACTTGCAATACTCTTTGCTTCTAGCATCGGCTGTGATTTTCCCTCAACCATCTTTTCACTGTAGGAGAAGGATCCCATTCCTTAAGAGGTCTGCTAATTATATAATCGCCACTGTGCTTGATATATTAGAAACAGGCGACATCTCTTTTCTGAATGTACTATGTTCATCTTGGGAAAACCCCTTTCTGCTTCTGCTGAACTTACAGGAGTTGTTCTGACAATAGTTTTAACTCTATGAAGACTTTCGGGACTTACAACATCCCCTCATAATATCTCGTTTGGGGCATAACACAAAGCTGAAATGAATGGCAGTATGCCATGCTCTGGCTGTTTGGCCGTTCACTTCTTCACGTGACTTGCTTGTTTACCAAAGGAGCAAACACAAGGGAAGACCAATGTAGTATTTCATCAAAAGTACATCGACTTTTGCGAAACGAATGAATGAATAAATTTTACAAGGATAGTTCTAATTTTGTGTATCTATGGACAGAATGAACATTACTATGGGCACTTAGAATGCGCTGTTGTGCAGATGAATGTTCAAAAAGAGTCAGGAATGTAAATCTGGGATTTCCACATTGAGCAGCTTCCCAGCTGCCCGCCTTGAAGAGACCCCTGATTCCAAGTGCCATTTGAACAACGGGTTCACCGTGTTCAACAAAAAATCAGTTATCAGTTCTGCCAAACCTGTGCAAACCAGCTGAGTCTACAGCCATAATCTAGCCACAGTATTCATGAGGCCGGTGATGGCATATCCTGGATGAACAGAAACTAGCCACACCCTTCACAAAGGTAAAGTTTTATGAGAACGTTTGCGGCCTGTGTCTATAGAGAGGAGAGAGGCTGGGGTGGGGTTAAGGCGAGAGGCTCAGGCCCTGCCCAGGCCACTGACATGGCTCCCCTTGCTGGCCACCACTGTGGCAGGCACAAGGTTATCGTAAAACAACTCACTTCATGCAAGATGCTGCTTTACAGCGTTGAAAGTGCCCAGATGCCCACCTAGAGCGTTATTTAAAAACACAAATACTGAGGTTTGGATCCAATGGCCTGTAATGATGCCTTGGCTTTTGTGTGTGTGTGTGTGTGTGTGTGTGTGTGTGTGTTTCTAACACGAAAACCCCTGGTTTCAGCCATCATCTTGAGTCTTCCTCAAAGGACAGAAGGACACAATTGAGGGAGATTGAAATCACTGTTTCCTGGGGGCGGGAAGAGGTGCAATAGTGGTGTCTGCTTCTACCCTCCCGAGAACATCTGAGCATATCTTCTCTTTGATGATGTTCAATCTTCGGGAGTGATCCCACCACTGTGGTTTACTACAATTGGGAGAACGCTAACCTGCCCTGTGGACTGAGGGATTCTGGGCTCTGACTACATCATGAGCGTAGTTTGATTCAGTGAAACATTAACTCATCTCTTTTGATTGTGGCAAGGTTCCTTGTGAGGATGAAGTCCAGCTAACCTACCCCTCGGACAGAGGGGGTGTGAGACCTCATTGATTTCCTGCGGGAGGAGCACGAGAGACAGGGCAGAGGTTTGTTGAGGTGTATCTTAGGGAGCAAGGCTCAGGGTTCACCTCAGGTAAATGTTTAACTAGAGCACCTTCACTAATCTCATTTCCGGGTGTCTTTCTCTGGGAAAGTGCGTTTAAATGGAACTTGAAAAGTGGAGAGTTGTGCCCTGTGGCTTTGTTGAGGGAAGGGCCAAGGCCAGTCAAGGTGAGAGGTGGCAGTTCATTAGCATCACTTCTCGAGTCCCAGAGGGCTGTTCTCATAGCATGAAGGTCAAACCCCAAAGCCATTGCCACGGAGTTGATTCCAACTCATGGCAACCCTGTAGGGCAGAGCAGAACTGCCTCCTGGGCCCCAGGCTGTCATCTTCACAGAAGCAGACGGCTACATCTTTCTCTCAGGGGCAGCGGCTCTGTGTGTACTGCCTGGCTTGCGGTGAGCGGCTGGGCATGGAAACACTGTGCCACCAGACCCCAGGCACGGACATCTATTCTCCGCTTTCCAGTCGCGCTTCGTCATTGCTCTGGAACTACAGGCTTCGGGACCAGCATCCTTGCCTGTTTGTTGGCAACTGTCTGTCTGATGAAGTGAGAGGAGAGCAGGGTGGAGGCTGGCGAGAACTCCGGGAGGAAGACCGCCCTGCAGGAGCAGTAGCAGCTTCATCTCTGAGCTGGAAGACATTATGCTTTGGTTCAGCAAATGAGGCTGAACCTCACCATGGTAGCCCCTGCGAGGGCTCTTTTTTTTTAAAAGCTAGACTATGTTTCCCACAACTATAGGCAGAACTGATGAAAATATTATACATTGACCAAGCAAAAAACCCCAAGTCTATCTGTAAGATGAATATCAGTGTCTATTTTTAAGTCCTGGTCGCTCACCCAATGTTCTGGTGGGTTTTCACCAGCCTCTCAAAAGTGGTATCTCAATGAAGACATTATAAGCCCAGAGAGTACTTTTTGCATTGTTTATTGAGAGAGCAATACCCTTACACATGAGGAACCGGTGCACTTAAATTATGTAACATGACCATAAAAACGGAGGTGGGGGGTGATTCTTGTCAGCGACACGACGACGCCCGGATGTGAGTTACAGTGACTGGTCGAAAACACACGGTGTAAACCACAAGGTAGACAAGCGAGCCCAAACAAAAGCGAAACGAGCCCCCAAACCGGCGGAACACCCAGGTCAGTTAGCACATTAGTGATTCCCATGGGCTCAACACCAAGTGCTGGCCATGCTCATCCAAACCCCACCTTTTCAGCTGAGCAATAAGGACAATGACTCAGACCTGACCCAGGCGCACAAGCACACGCTGCGCCCGCCTCTTCTGTGTCTCCATGTTCAGTACTCTTCAATTACATTCTCAGTGTTTCTCTAAAGCCATGGTCTTTTCCTACTTCTTCTCCTTACACCTGCGATGGTGGGCTAGTCGCTCCCACAAGAAGATGCCAATGGATGGCCCGAACCAGTACTGAGACGTGCGATGGGGAAAGCCTGGGGGGACTGCCCACAGTACACACATGGACATTTTTCATCACAATTTGCCCAAGAGCCTTCCCACTTCCCATTTGGGAAAGAGCTGGAAAAATAAAAATGTTTTTCTTTCTACAAAGGAAAAGAAAATCATTCTGTTTGTATAATTTCTGAACCGGAAAAAGACTAAGTTTACTCACTTTACAGATTGAAGTCTGGACAGCTGGTTTCATTTCTGCCCATTGGCCTTGCTGACATCATGACCCTCCCCTGAGTTTGGTTAATGAGAGCAAACAAACAAAAGTGACAGAAAACAAAAACAAAGCAGCAGCATCAAACAAAGTTAAAACGTGATGTGGTTGTGTCCTTTGCATTTCCTGGTAAAAGTGCCAACGTCTGTATCATCTACGCTGACAATTGTTTTCAACAGGAACCCTTGACCCCATGAGGTTAAGGCACCGGGTTAGACGAGGGTGACGGTCTGACATGCAGCATGGGATATGCAGGCTCCAAACGCCTCTGGGCGTAGAGGCGATGACAGGGACAAAGCAAAGCGATCCACATTGAGGCCAAAGGTCCTGCTGGCTGCAAGTGGGTCTGGGAGATGAGACTAGAAGCTCTAGGCGGTACTGTAAGGCACTCCTATGAGGAAAAGTAACAAATGGGAAGGGCAACACGGAGAAGGAGCCACTGCCCCGGTGCCCACTAGCTGGTTTACTAGCCATGAAGCTGAAGTCTGGGTTGGGGCTCAGGTGCTCCTGGGCCGAGAGGAGGCATACATCTCACTGTGCTAATGGCTGTAGGCGCCTGGGCAAAAGTACCTTCTCTCCAGACCTGACAAGACGAGCCGTCCACATGTCTCCTCCCACTGGCAATGCCTTTCACACCCTGGAGGTCACGTCCTCAGGAACCTGCCACATAACAGGGTCACTTGAAAATAAAACCCGACACCGGCAGGTGTGCTTCAGAGGGCATGCCACGCTTTCCCCCCTCTTCATACTTTTATCTAGTTTAACAAGGCCTCGGCCTTGACCTTAGCCATGCTCTTCCTTAAACCAGACGAAAGGAACACCACCAAGTCAGCGCTGTCTGAGTCCAATGAAGGCAGACCCGACGGCAGCAGACGGGACTCAAACACACCCACAGGCACGGACGTGGCGAAGGACCAGGCGATGCCCCATTTTGCTTTAGAGAAGGGCTCGGGGTCTGGTGTTGGTGCAATGGCTATTCACCACCACCACGACCAAACAGGGAGGAGAGTGCTGGGGACTGGGGTTTAACGGTCAAAACACCATCCCATGTGATCCAACCAATCAACTCACTGCATCACGTCGATGCCGACCCGTAGCCACTCCCCAGGACAGGGCAGAATTCCCTCTGTGGGTTTCTGAGACTGCATTTCTTCATGGGAGTAGAAAGCCTCATCTTTCTCGCTCAGAACTGCTGGTGGTTTTGGACCGCTGACCTTGCTGTTTTCAGCCCAACACGTAACCACTACACCACCAGGGCTTCCAGCCTACAGGACAGAAACCACCACTGGGGTGCACGGGGAAGGTCTTATGTCTCCCAGCACTGGATTCAGCCTACAATCATTCCGTTCTCCTGGATGCAGGGCTACTTTCAAAACTCTCCCCTGCCTGTTAGGAACAAGTACCAAGCAAAGGAAGACAGAGTTTATACCACTAGTTCCACTCCCCACAGCGGAGAAAGGCTTCGTTTCCTTCAGCGTGGCAGACAAGTCTCTACCTTGTCACATTATTCCAGTGTAAGGAAGCGGAATAAAACTGAGAGTAAATGTGGGAATATTGCACGTCTCTCTCTCTCTACGGTGAGAAGCAACAAGCACAACTGCCCCTGGGGTGACTCCAGGCCACCTCAGCACCAGAAGTAGAAAGATGCCCTTGGTGATTTCTATGCAGCCATGGGCCAGCCAGAGCCAATGTACCGAGAGCCGCGGGGCTTGCCCTGAAGGAGGAACAGAATGCCTCTCCTTCCCCACACCATGTCTCCCCAGCAAGCATCATGCCGGCCCTGTCCTGATCAATGTTTACAGACGGCCTCTTTTGGCCAATGGGTAGAGAACAAGCCATCAGACAGGGGAGCTCGGCCTTGAGGGGGAGGCCTGGGCGAAAGACCTTCTGGGGCCATTTCGGTGTGTGCGCCAGGGAGGTCAGAAGCCATCCCTGGGCCTTGACTCCACTTAGCAAAGCAGTTGCCCTTGGGTGAACTCAGGAGACTCGGACTCATGGCAAGGCCACGGGCGTCAGGGAACAACTGTGCTCCATCAGGTTCTCAAGGGCTGGTTCTGGGGGTGCAGACTGCCAGGCCTCTCTTCCAGGGGACTAGAGAGTGATAGCCATTCCTGCTTTTACCAAGGCTGGAAGGGAAGCAGGCACCACCCCTTTTCGGGAAGCCGGAGGTCACCCGTCATAGCACTGGCCCCCTCCCCTGTTGGGTGCATCTGTGATAATCAAAAAGGGAGCACCCTTACCGCCAGGCTAAGGCTCCTAACAAGGTTCCTGGTAGTGCTGCAGATATCAAGATGCCCACCAGAAGCTCCCCCCACCGCCAAAGGCAGTGAAGCAAAGCGGGGAGATGCAGGATGACATGGCACCACACAAGGCAGCTTTCCACTTGGGGGAAAACAAGGCTAGACAGAAAATGCCTGTGATTTGAGTCGACTGCTTTTAAAGTCTCGGGTGGCCTTCCTGCAATGGTGCAAACGCAGGTCTATTTTCGGAGCTGGCGTCTCTGCCGCAGGGTTAGGTGCCAGCATTTCACCAGGCCCAGCCGCCTGGCTCCCGAGTTCCTGGCACTGCTGGCAGGGACTTCTCCAGGCTTCACCAGGCAGCGAGCCTTTGGGGCAGCAGGTCCCTGCAGCCAGCTGCGAGCGCCGGGAGATTCACTGGCCAGTTCCTTGTCTGCTTTCTGTGCAGGGTATTTAGTGCAGGACGAACAGTAGAAGAGGACAAGCAGGTAGTAGTGCGGCCACAGAGGTGGCAGGCTGCAGCTCTGCATTTGTGCACAGTTTCCAAGCACTGGGACAATTACCTCGCAGTGTCCCCGAGCCGAGCTGTTTGTGAGGGCGGACGCCGGTCAGGGTGTTCTCTTTGTGCTAGGCCATTTGGGGCTGAGAGCAGCAATTTTGCATTTCCATGGTAGCCTGAACCCTCTGTGGGCTCCGCTCTGTCCCATCTGATTTGGGTGGCGGTGGCTGTGGGGGGAGCCTGTGGCCGGCCCCAGCCCGGCTGCCAGTGATATGTGCACAGGAGAGAAAACAGAAGTAGCTGGGACATAGCTGCAGCTCTAGACATAGCTGCATCTAGCTTCCCCTTTTGAAAATAAGCAGAAGATGATGCGGGTGGAGAAGTTCCTCCTAGGAATTCTCGGGGCTGCTGGTAGGTAGCAGGGCCCCCTGAATGGGCATTGGCAGATGCATTTAGAATTGGGATCCAGAACTTCACCCTTGACTTTGGCAGACTTGACCCTGGGATGGGAAATTCTGGGCAGAGAGCAAGCTTGCTGGAAGGGAGCGGCCGCTCTGCGCTCCGTGTCTACAAATGCAGGGAGGATTTCGGTGACCGGTGGGGATCACAGATGCACTCAGCATATTCATTACAGCCCAGGCCAAAGGCAGCTCCAGCGAAGGGAGCTGGGGGTGGAGGGAGAAGGAGCGTTGCCATTGGAGCACATGCTTTATAATAAGCAGTTCTATAATTCTCCTGTGAAAGATCATGTTCTGCTATCTTTTCTGAGGCTGGAAAATATAAATACTGTTTTTCACAGAGGGGAGGAGGAGAAAGGAGATGATCACATTTGTGTGTCTGTTTGCCAAATGCTTGCTTGACATTTTCCACCCTTTCTCTTTTGTGTGCAGTGTTGACTAGAGTGGGGGATGGGGAGGGGAGTCCACCTGTTTCCCAAGAGTCGAAGGCACCGCAAGGCTTCTTTTGAATAGGGCCCTGGCCTTTTAACACATTGTCATGCCTTGGTGACAGCTACTGGATCAGAAAACAAATGCATTCGTACTAAGTTCAAGTTGAAATGCGTAGGCTGGGCCAGAGGGCCATCGTAGGTTAAGAGGTGAAATGTTCACATGCAACCATCTGAATAAAAGTCCTGTGGAAGTGTCAGGTCTCTGCATGGCTGGAGGTTGGTTCTGCAGGGAGCAGGTGTGGGAGAAAGGAGAGCTAGATGGGGCTGAAGGTACCATGTATGCCATAAGTCACACTCTCCTGATGCCGGTACGAGCGCAGCCGCCAAACTCAAAGGCGCTGAAGACGTCTGCTGAGTAGTGAAACACACAGGATCTTCTCATAGTCTTGTGAATGGCTTCCACACACACACACACACACACACACACACACACACACACACACACACACTCCTGTTCAAGAATGAGGAAGGGAGATGAGCCGAAACAGGTGCCATTGGGTTTCCGGCGCTGCCATTGGGGTCCCACTGATTGCTGTGCTGGCTCTTACAAGGGCACTGCAGTGGGAGACCCCTACCCTGCAGTTAGCAAAGCAAGAGTTATACTTCTCATGGAGAGCCTATTCTTTACTTTGCACTTTTGTTTTACTTTAAGGTGGCAAGTATAGATATGTGTGTGTGTGTGTATGTACTTTTGACCAATATTAAGTTTAATTTATGAATTAGCTTTGTAAGTTTGGCATTTTTTTAACAGACTTAGGTTGGTGTTTTGAAGTTCCAGGCTACTCGGATTTCTTAAACAACTCAAGTAAGTAAAGGAAAGTGGGGATGGTGAGATCAACAACACAGGGAAGAACAAGGATAAAGCCTGGACGACGGGTGGGGAGGCAGGGCAGGATTCTGCACAAGGAAACTGCAAGCCGCCCCTTGGAGTGTGCGCACCACCCGCCCTCTCTACCAGGCTTTGACAACAATGGGAGGAAATGCCCTCGGGCCAGCACCTGACAAAAGCATAAATACCATCCATGAACCCCCAGCAAACTGCTCTTCAGAGCGTCGTGTCCATGGCCTGGCCCTGTAGTGGACAGTCCCGTCCGTAAGCAGGTGTTGGCATTCGTACCAGCAAACAGACTGACAACATGCAATTTTGGTCCCAGAAGTTTCTGGGAGGAGATAAATTAAAAAAACAAAAACAAAAACAACCCCCCCCCAAACCCAACAATATTCTGAGGTTAACTTTGAAGGCAGAGGCAGCTCTCCTCATAAGTTAGGGGTGCATGCTTCCCGTCGGGGGGCCATCCTCAGGAGAAACTGAGGTTCAGCAGCACCAGGGACACGAGCCCTGGAAAGAACTGGGAGTCATCGCTGTGTTGGGAAGATTTTCTTATGAAGCAGATGGTGGTGGGTGCTTGCCTCAGTTACCTCCGCTTCTGAGGAGGCTAAAAATAAATAAAGTGAAAATAACCTACATTTCTGTTGTTCTGCCGGAAATGTTTTCTCCTGTGTCCTGTGTAATAAAATGTCCCAAGAGCCAAAAAAAAAAAAAAAAGATAAAAAGGAAGTCTGAACTATTACGCACTGTTGTAAACCACATTTTGCTTGGGAGCAAGCAACATAAATTCCTGGCTAAGTGCAAGTCAGCGATTGGTCATTTCTTTCAAGCCATGGAGGCTCCACGGACCTTTTGGACAACGAGTGACACGGGTACACATACAGTGAGTATGCGCATGTATGTGTGTGCATATAAATATATATCTATAGCTAGCTGAAGGGCAGACATACTCTTCCTCCAGCGGGGTCTCAGTGGCTACTCAGGAAGCCACTCTGGCTGCCGCGCCGTCCCCACGGGCGTGGCCCTCGGCTGGGGGCCGCGCCGTCAGGTGTTCTGGTAGGACAGCTCAAACATGGTGCACGCCTCCTCCAGACTCTCGTCCACGTTCAGCTGCCGCCAGAAAGACTTCTGCTTCTTCTGCAGCTCGCGGCGCACACACCTCGGGCAGGGGACCGACTTCTCCTTGCATTCAGAATGGAACACGGCGCCGCAGCGCTCACACCTGTCAAAACCAAGCGGGGACAGGATCAGCGAGGGGGAAGGGAGCGGGGCAGAAGCACAGGCACTGGGGCGCAAGCCGGACTACCCCGTCTTAGTCTGGACAACCCCACCGCAGGGAAGAGAGTGACCCACGGGACCCGGCTGTTTGCTTTACCCAAATGCTCAAGGTTGAGGTTTGCTTGAAAAACAACCCCCCACCCCCAGGGCAGTGTGGAAGGGAACCAGCAGTCATTTAGCAACGCTGTGATTTACGGTGACCTTGGGCTGTGTCCGGAAACCCTGGGTGCAAGTGTCCCCCCGCCTCCCACCCTGGAGAGGGGCACCGGGAGGGACTGCGGGTGAGGTGTCAGCAGCTGAAGGAGGGCAACCTGTTTCCATCAGTGGGGACATTCCTTCCTCGGGAGCTAAGTGGGTCCCCGTTAGCTCACTGTCAATAAGCTGAGAGTTTGGAAAAGGTAAAATGACACATTTAAAAAATTATAGGCTGTGGTCTATTACTTGGAATTCAAAAATAAGAAAGAAGTGAACATCTTCCCCCTAAGAGTTTACCTCTTTGGCGTAACTCTCAATAAAATATGGGTGAAAACAGCGCAGACACAGTAATTTACACAGAGCAGACATTCCAGGGGGATGACTAGATAGATGTTGTTCGGCCTAGGGGTAACCTGCACAGGAGTCGGAACAGCTTGTTTTTATAGCAAAGTTTTTAACAATGAGTAACTAGGAGCTCTGGTGGCACAGTGGTTACTCGTTGGGCTGCGAGCTGCAAGGTCCAAAGTTCGAAACCACCAGCTGCTCTGAGGGGGAAAGAGGGGGCTTTCTACTGCCGTAAACTGTTACAGCCGTAGGATGAAAGGGGCAGTGATCCTACCCTGCCCCATAGGGTTGCATGCACCTGATGGCTGTGGGTATAATGACACGTGTGACTACAGCTGTTCAGTGGTGGCTTGGCCACATGGACTGAGTTCTCAGCTCTCACACACGGTAACACGCAACTTTCACCTGATCCCAGTGGGGTTCTGTCCCAGCAGAGACGGGACACCACGGGCGAAGGAGCTGCTTTTGCTTTCTAGCTGTGCCTGGGTTTGAGTCCTGGCACAGGCTGCCGGTTAGGGGACGCTTGCTAGTCGGCCACTGGCTCACCCTCGACACCATTCAGATTCACAGGGCTTGGCTAAAGAAGGATCTTCACAGCCCCTTGGGAGCCCAGGCAGAAGGCAGCCCCTTGGAAGGAGAGAGGTGGGGGCGCTGTACTGGTGGGCAGACCTGCACCTGCCCTCCCTCCTGGAGCTCGGCTCTCAGGAGCAAGAGAAAGGCAAGTGGCTGGGGTAGCACAAGGGAGATAGATGGCTGTGGCCTCAATAAGTTAATGGCTGTCATGACCTCGGTACAAGTTCCTTCATGTCTTTGAGCTAAAGTTTTCTCATCTGCTAACTGAGGATAACGTTGGCACCCGCCACACAGGGGTGTCATGAACATACAGAGCTGAGAAAGCGGCCAGCATGGTTCCTGGTACACCATAAAGCTACACCTGCTCTTCACAGCCTTAGACTGCCTGCTGTCTTCATGCCAACCCACCTTCGCCGTGAACTGAGGACAGTTTCGTCAAGCCTCTGCTTCCTCGATGGGAAAACGGAGACTCCAGGAAGGCAGGCGATTGTCTGGCTGGGAGGCAGCCAGTTGAGGACAGAGTTGAGATGGGAAAGCAGGATCATTCAGCACCGTGCTGCTGGCTGGCCGAGGCTGGTCACCTGAGTGGGAGCAGTCAGCCACTGTGCAGGGAAGCCTGTGTTCAAAACCCAATGCTTTCTTTTTAGTTGTGTGATCTGGGGCCAGTGTTGTCTTTGGGTGCTCGTCTCCTCTATTGTAAATGCCACTAACAATGGCCCCTCCCTACTCTCTGGAGTTGTGAACCTAGGATGGGCAGATGTATGCGGAAAGACCCTGCTGAGGATGAAGTATTCTACAGGCAGGTCACTGTGACCCCACCTGTCTACCACACACATGCCGCCCCCCCCCCCCCCCCCCCCCCCCCCCCCCCCCCCCCCCCCCCCCCCACTGAAACTGGGATAGCCCTGTCCTGTCAAGGGTGAGCGTGGGTGAGCTCCGGCATCTCCTTCTCCCCAGCCCCTCCCCTCCTTCCAGTGAAGATGAAGGTCAGACCCAGGTCTCCAGGACCTCTCTTTCCCTGGCACTGGAAAGCCCCTCCCCAGGGCAGTGGCTTTGTCCCCACTGGGTCACACCTCTTCAGCCTGCTATCACTAGCCTGACAGTAATGGTAGAGTTATCAAATACATTTCCTCCTTCCTGCCCCTTTGCCCGTGGATTAGTCAGTGATTTATATGCCTAGGGATGTTGTCCCAGGGCCGTGATTGATAAGGAGGAAAATGCTGGGTTCCTTCAGTGCCACTCCTTTATCTCTCCTGATACCAGGACCTGCATGAAGTGAATGCGCCTTATCAGATGTTTCTGGTACAGCCAACACCCATGGGGGTATGGAGGGCCCAAGTGCACCTGCTCTTTTGAGCCAAAGGTCAGTAACTGGGGGGAGGTGGGGAGTACAAGATAAAAAAAAACTAATGGTTCAAAATAAGAAGCAAGACTCATTTTTCTAGCAATGTGCACCTCAACAGGCATGCTTTGAACGGTAGACAGGACGGACTAGCCCAACAGTGACCTTCTCCCCCACCCACCCACCCCCACCCCTCTCTTGAAAGGACAAGAATAAGGGCAGGAAAAGGAAGGAGGCAGAGAAAATTTCTTACGTAAACTGTATGGCACTTGGTAATAAAAATGTAATGTGCAGGGAAAAGAAAGTATTTCCATTAGAAGAAACAGAACAACAACAAAAACAATGCACTACGGTGTGCTCCTGTTGAGAGACAGGGGCCACAGAACCCAGCATCTGAGTCACCCAGTGCCAGCAGCAAGTGGTGGCACTGCTCTTTGGTTGTCACTGTACACCACAGAGAACAAAGGCCCAGTGTCCTCTCTCTGCCCAGCCCTGGACAGTGCATCTAGATTTGTCACTGACGGAAGCCCTAGTTCTGCTCTTCCTCAGAGACCAGTGCTTCACTTGATCCACACTGCTCAACCTGGGACTGAGCGCCTGTGCAGGAAAGTTCTTGTTGCATACGGGCTGTCCTATGCAGCGGAGGAGGGACATTAGCAATAGCCCAGCTGCTGCCCACGATGGATCGCGTACAAGGTTCTGCAGGGTCCAATGGTACTGATTATTACGTAGCCCCCCAAGAGAGTGGTTCCCTTCCTGCCCACCTTACTGAGGCCACACAAATCTCATTCTGCATCTTAGTAACTGCACCCTGGAACGAGACAGTTTACAATCAGCCTTTGACCTAAAAAATTAGCTCAGTGACCCACAGCCAGTGGGAGACACACTGATAACTTGGCGATCAAATCGTCAAGTGCCCAGAGATTAGACAGACATGACGTTCCCCTGAGAGAAACCTACCTGCTCCCAAGTAACAGAACTAAATACCCCCAGTGAGTGTGTAGGGGGATGTGGTGGGGGGTGTGGGAAGAATTGCTTCTTAAATATTGCAAAGGAGTGAGAATTCCTGACTGCAGTTCCCTGTTCTGGAAAGCTGATGAGGTGAGACCAATTAGAGGCTGGCCTGACTTGGTCCTCGCCATTTGAGATGCTGGCTGCACACAAGGAGGTCACGAGAAACTGAAAGGCCCTGGCCCAGGTGAGGTCCTTGGAGGGTTTCTGCTCTGTTCCCACCGGTCCTTCCCAGCTACGTTTTTATTTTTGGTGCAAGGCAAAGGCCTCAGAAATTTCACTCAGACGGAAATGCAGGCTGCACGTAGGTTGGCTCTTTGGCAAGCGTTTAAGAGAGATGTGCCGACCAGGGCAGAGCGTTGACAGATTCCCACCGTGCAGGCCCCACAGCGGACAGGGCATGGTGCTGGAATAAGTAAGTGCACGCACGCAGGCTTGCGAGTGCCGTTTTGCGTGTGGCTACAGCAAAGGGGCCTCTCCGACCTAGTATTGGCTTTGCCAAGAAACCAAGCTGACGCCTTCCATCTTTTAGGGAAGGGAGGTGGTTACTGGGGCCGAGCTATTTGAATGTTTTGAGTTAGTCTTTTCTTCAGCATTTGTGTAAGTGAATGCACGCGAGCAGAATGCCTATCATGTGCTTAAAGGGAAGATCGACCAACATGACGGGACTGCTTGCCTACCTGCACACGGGCCCTGGGCGAACCTTTAGCGAGGGGCACACTATCCTCAGACTTAGAAGACATGCTACTTAGATATTCTTGGGGGAAGTGAATCAAACACAGTGTAAGCAAATGATAAGATAAAACAGGGTTTTATTGGGGGGGGTGGTGGTGGTGGTTAAGTGTTACCTGACACTGTTGGTTTGCGTGTTGGACCGGTAACTGCCAGGTCCCAGGTTCAAACGCACCAGCCACTACAGAGACCAGGTCCCAGGTTCAAACGCACCAGCCACTACAGAGACCAGGTCCCAGGTTCAAACGCACCAGCCACTATAGAGACCAGGTCCCAGGTTCAAACGC